ACTGATCTGCTAGAACAAAAAGCAGAATCAAAAAGGAAGGAAAAAGAAGAAAACCTAATAATAATGTGGGACACCATCAAGAGAAATAACATGTGCATAATCAGAATCCCAGAAAAGGAAGAAGAAAGTAAAGGCACCAAAAAGTTGTAGAAGAATTACTAGAAGAAAATTTCCCAGGCATAATGAAGAATGAGGGAATATATATTTAAGAAGCTGAGAGAACATCATATAGAACAGACCTAAAAAAAAAAAAAAAGCCAAAGCATATCATAGTCAAATTTGCCAGAACCAAATATAAGGAGAGAATTCTGAAAGCAGCAAGGGAGAAACAAAGAGTAACATATAAGGGAGAGCAGATAAGATTAAGTGCCAATTTCTCGGCAGAAACCATGCAAGCAATAAGACAGTGGAATGAAATATATAGAAAGCTCAAAGAACACAACTGTCAACCAAGAATACTGAACCCAGCAAAACTGTCCATCAAATATGAAGGAGAGATCAAGATATTCCCAGAAAAATAGAACTAAAGAGAGTTTGTAAACAAACAAACAAACAAATAACAACAAAAAACCCAAAAACAAAACCCAAAGCCAGCATTGGAGGAAACACTGAAAGACGTCCTTCTTACAGAGGTGCCACAGAAAGCAGGATGGACCAAAGAAGCTAGCAACAACACCAAAAAGAAGTCAACAAAATGATAGCAATGAAACTTTGCCTCTCAATCATCACACTGAATGTAAATGGTTTAAATGTACCATTGAAGAGAAAAAGAGTAGCAGATTGGATAAAAAACCCAAAATCCATCAATATGCTGTCTAAAAGAGACACACATGAATAATGAAGATAAAGAAAGACTAAAAATAAAAGAATGGGGAAAAAATATACCAAGCAAATAGCAAATAGAAAAAAAGCAGGAGTGATGGTATTAATTTCCTATAAAATAGATTTCAATGCAAAAACCATCATAAAGGACAAACAAAGTCACTACAGTAATGATTAAAAACCATCATAAAGGACAAAGAAGGTCACTACCTAATGATTATAACAATAATAATTAAGATATAATAATAATAATTAAGAAGCTATAACAATAATAAATATCTATGTACCAAATGAAAGACCTGCAAAATATATAAGACAATCATTAACAAAACTGAAAGAAGGAAAAGGAAATAGACAACACTACTACAGTAGTTGGAGACTTCAATTCACCACTTTCAAGAAAAGACAGAAATTCCAGGAAGAAACTCAACAAAGATGCTGAAGAATTAAACCAGAAAATAAACCAACTTGATCTCATAGATATTTGTAGGCTAATGCACTGGAAAAAAGCATGGTATACTTTCTTCTCCAGTGTTCATGGACATTCTCTAGAGTAGAACACATTTTAGGACACAAGACAAACAACAATAAATTCAAAAGCATAGAAATAATACAAAGCATATTCTCAGACCACAATGCTACAAGATTAGAAATTAATAACAAGAGGATAAAGAAGAAAAAAAAAACATACATTTGGAAGCTGAACAACACCTTGCTTGAACGTGAGTGGGTACTAGAAGAAATAGTTTCTTGAAACATATGACAATGAAAACACCACTTACCAAAACCTCTGGTAAACAGCCAAGGCAGTAATCAGAGGTCAATTTACAGCAATAAGCAAACACATTAAAAGACAGAGAAAAAAATGACTATTGACTCTCTAATCCAGCATCTCCAACAAATTGAAAATGAACAGCAAGGAAACCTGACACTCTCCAAAAAAAAAAAACTGAAATTATAAAATTCAGCCAGAAATAAATGAAATAGAAAACAAAAAAATAATTGAAACCATCAACAAAATAAGGAGTTTGTTCTTTGAAAAGGTCAATAAAATTGACAAACCACTAGCAAAACTAACAAAAGAAAAGAAGGAAAAGACAAAAATAATCCGAATAAGGGATGAAACAGGCAATGCCACAACAGAGTCAACTAAAATAAAAAGGTCAACAATGAAATATTAAGAAAAACAATATTCAAACAAGTACGAAAACTTAGACAAATACTTAGAAAATTACAACCTGACTGAAACTGACACAAACTGTATTTGAACACCTGAACAGACCCATTATGAAAGAAAAAATTGAAAAGGTAGTAAAACAACTTCCAGCCAAAAAAAGTCCTGGACCAGATGTTTTTACAAGTGAATTTTATCAAACAGCCAGAGAAGAACTGTCATCAATTCTACATAAACTATTTCAGAAAATAGAAAAAAATGTAATTCTCCCAGACCCATTCTATGAAGCAAACATATCCTTGATACCAAAGCCAGGTAAAGGCACCAGCAAAATAGAAAACTATAGGCCAATATATCTCATGAACATATATGTAAAAACCCTGAATAAAATCCTGGCCAATAGAATCCAATTATACATCAAAAAATAATTCACCATTACCAAGTGGGATTCATAAGAGGTATGCCAGGATGGTTCAACATAAGAAAAACAATTAGTGTTATTCATCACATTAACTAAGCAAAGAACAAGAACCACATGATCCTATCAATTAATGCAGTAAAGGTCTTTGACAAACTCCAACACCCTTTCCTGATTAAAACACTCAACAAAATAGGAATAGAAGGGAATGTAGTAAAAAGCATATATGCAAACCCAAGAATGTTATTCTTAATGGAGAGAAGTTAAAGAAATTCCTCTTGAGAACAGGAACTAAGCAAAGATGCCCACTATCACCTCTCCTACTCAATATTGTATTAGAAGTCTTAGCAATAGCAATAAGAGAAGAGAAGGAAATAAGAAGTATTCAAATATTCGTAAATTCATAAATTCATGCTGTAAAGGGGATGGGGGGATGGACACATGATTCTACAAGCAAATCTTCCTTTGCGCTGATTATCATCAACATTGCTTTGACTTCCAGGAACCCTGTTGGTCACCACAAAACCGATGGGACTTGGAGTTGACCAGCCAACCTGGAATGTATGATGCTGCTCTCATGAGTATATTCAACTACCACTGTCTGGGCCTGTTTGCACTTGAATGGGAATGTCTCTCTGTTCTCGGTTGTTCTGAAATGATCTTTGTGCCCCACTCTGTCAATGTGCCTCACACAATGCTCTCCTCATAGCCCATCCCAAACCAGCACAGGGGTGTTACTCCTACCTTGCCCATTTTACAGACTCAACAACTGAGGCTTCAAGAGATAAGTGAGCTTGGTGAAGACTACTGTCACCTCTGTATGTCCTGCATCAATTGTTTTGAAAATGACTTAGATGAATGGGGGGAAAGGGCTGCAGCAGGACAAATGATGGTGACAAGAGATTGTTATTCTTTAGGTCACTTGACTGTGGGACCTAGCTCAGCCCTGCCTTGCAAAGACCCAGCTCAGGCCTGGCCAGTGAATCTCAACCAGTGAATGACAAAAGGAATAAAGTGTGGAGGGCCATGAACGGGCCCGCATGGCCTCCATTACAAGATGGCGCTGATTTCCTGCTTCTCTTTGTTTGCCTTAAAACAAACAAGACCTTATTTGGGCACTGTGTTCTCACTGGTTGATGGCTTGATCTCATGTGGGGTTTAGGATCCAATAGAGGCATGACACATAGGTGATGGGCGGAGTACCAAGAAGGGGATAAAAGCCGCACCCGGGGAAGGGAAGAGAGACTCCATCTTCCACCACCCTCTGTAACAAAACTCCTGAGTAAACCGCTGTGAGAAGGAACCGTTGGTGTGTTGTGTCCTTATTCCTGCTGGACAGGCAAGGCGCGCAACAATAAAGGAGCTCCTACTTGTGCCCTACCTTCCCTCCAAGGGTGTGTCAGTGATCCAGAGGCAGTGGGGGGTGGAGGGGATCTGTTGGGAGGATGGTGAGAGCCATAGCCACCTCTACTAGCCCTGCTGCTCTACATACAGGATTTGTCTGGAACAAAGCCGGCCCTGCACCTCTCCAGCTGCCTGAGGTTTTCAGCATGTGTGTGGCTCCAGGATCAACTTCCCCTTGCTGGTCTCAGCTCAACTTACAAGGAAGGGCTTAACACTGATAACAAAGAAATGCAGGGCGGTCTTCTCATGTGTACACTTTGCCCACTCACTCTAAGGTTCTGGAGGCACGCTGGGATTCCGGCCACCAACAATCATCTGGAAATAGTGCAAAAGGTGTCTCAAGCCTCCTGATCAATAAAGATTTGAGAAAGACAATCAAGCTCAAGTTTTCTCCTGATCAAGAAAAGTTTCCATTCAAGCACCAGTCAAATACAGTGTACTGATTGTCTCAGAGTCTATCCCAAATGGCAATAGAGAAAGGAGGAAAAATAGATTTGCTAAAAGACCGAAGGCATATGGGGTTATAGCCCTGCACATTGCTTGTACTTGACAGGCTGCAAAGGCAGTAAATAAGTGACAAACACCAGCATAGCATAACAAACAGTAAGACCCATACTCCCAAAGACAATAATTTTTTTATTTTCCCAAATCTTGTGGCAGGGTTGGAGATGCCCCCACTGTTTTCAGACTCTGGTTACTGAGGCTGCTAGCCCTTCAAGTTACACCTTGACCAGTCATAAACCAAGAGGGAAAAATTAAGGCCCCAGGAGCAGTTGACTTCTGGGGTTGCACAGCAAGTTAATTAGGGAATCAGATGAGAATTTGGTTTCTAGGCAATTCTCCATCCCTGCCTCTATCCAACCCGTGTCTACTTCCAACTGAAGGCATTCTGTGTCTGTATGCTTTAAGAGACAACCACCAGGCAATGGTGAAGCTTACAGAACCCCCTTAGGTGTGTGCTGACAGGTTTGTGGGAACCAGTGATAATGCCCACAAAAGAGGTCATCCTCTCTCAATGAAGCATCCTCATGCTCATCTGTGTACCCATATCAGGGCAGCAGAGTATGTTTCCACACAACTACAGCTACACCCAAGAAGAAAGCAACATGGTTATACTTAGCTTACTTTCAAAGAAAATAAAGAAGCAACAACACACCATAAAACCAAATGGAATTCTATTACCTGTAAAGCCTGCACACTGCTAATGCTCCTTGACGTGTGTGAAGATTGCAACTCTCCATTCTTTCTGTTGCTGGACTCACTGTCCTTTCTGGAGTTCAGGTCCATGGCTAGACTGAAGGTGTAAGTCCTGGGGGAGCAAAGAGAAGCTGTCAACAGAGAAACAGCTGCATTGGGAACAATGGGAATGAAATCCTGAGACAAACAGTCAACAGTATGGACAAACCTTGAAAACATTAAGAGTCGTGAAGTCAGACAGTCATCCTCAGGCTTTCTAGTCATTAGTGCTCAGTGTACCATCTCAAGTATATTCTTGAGATTCTTGAGAAATCATCTCAAATTTAATCTTGGGATGGTTTCCAAATCAACTTGAAATTGTGTTTTGGCTCTTGCCAACTTCCTTTGATTTCCTTCAGCTTCAGTTTGAACATTCATATATATATATAATGACATGTGTATAGTTATCATCTGTGTTGGTGGAAAAAAGGCTTCTGATGGATATCTTTGGTCTTGTATGATTCTGTAATGTGACTGCTGGCATAATTTCTACCACCAAGGCTATACTTCTCAACTTCTGAGCCTTCATTTTTTTGCATTCTACTTACCAGTAAATTTACTGATGCATCTCAATTGCAACTGAGGCACAAGTGTTCGAGAGCTAGAGGGACTTGTGAGAAAGAGAGGGCAGCAGTTACTCTGATCAACCAGACACCAATTTCTTTTTTAAAAAGTCAACTTCATTAATATTTTATTTTGTGAAAAGCCCTTTCTCACCTTGCTAGATGGATCATAATATTACTTATATATCAAAACATGTTTTTGTTAGTTGTCATCACAATGACTCCAAACCATAGCAATCTCATATATAACAAAGCAAAACCTAAACATGCTTAAGTCATATTGTATGTCTTTGGTATTCATTAAAGACAAATTTGAGAAGTCTCATTTTAATATCCCTCCCTTGCTTTCACTCATCTAGAAATCAGAGTCATTTAAATTGCTTTCTGTTTTTAGATTGTTTTCTTCTATTTATTTCTTGAATTTTTGAAGAATTTTCAAATTATGATATTAATAGAAATTAATATAAAGCATCATTTATTTTATAGTCATGTCTTTCCCTGTTTCTGATACTTCTTTCATCAGATAAGAATTTCTCATTAGCCAACTCTGCTCCTATTATCTAGTCCACTAATCTGGGTTTTTTCCTCCCTCAAGCCAGGCTCATATTATATATCTGGCAGGTTAAGTCGTCATATCTCATTATTTTTATTTCCTATCATTTATCTGCTCTTTTCTCTTGTTCATTCTTCCAGATAAATTTTATATTCATTCTGTGATGTTCCAACAATTGATCCCATTGGGATTCTGCTTAGAATTGCTTTAAGCTTAGGGAATCAATGCATTCCCATCATTCATCTTTCTCAATCATAAACATGACAACTTTTTATATGTGCAGCTTATTTGTAAATGTTTATAGTTCTCATGTAGAGTCCTTTAGTTCCCATATTCTTATAAAACCAACAACAGCTCCACAGACCTGCATCCTGGGCCATAACAAGTTCTGTTAGAAGCATATCCTTTCTCCTGTATCTCAGCCACACATAGCTCAGGGCCCTGCCTTAACCCTGCAATGTGTGTACTTGACCATTCACTGTCCACATGGTGTTTTGGTTTAACCAACACATTTCTTAAAAGATCTTAAATTTTTGGCAAGTTATAACTTCCCTTTTTATCTCATTATTGCTTTTCCTAAATATTGCTCTGTGAATCCCTAAAGACTAGAGACAATAAATAAGGAAGACGGAAAGACAGTAGGGGTTTTTTGTTTGTTTATTTATTTTCTAAGTTACAGTTTGGTGAAGAGTATTGAATATACCATGAATCGTCAAAGGACCAAAGAAATCTATGCTGGAGGAAGTACAGCCATAGTTTTCCTTAAAGCCAAAGATGGTGAAATGTTGTGTCCTACATTGTGTCCAGGGTTGTGTTTTGTTATACATAGGGTCACGATGAGTTAGAGCCAACCCAGTGCCCCTAAAACAACAGCATAAAACAATAGTTATCACTTGCCTGTCATTGTGCTTTAATAAGGTGGCTTATGTGTGGGTATGATGCCAGAAGCTAGGCCAATGGTATTTCAAATGCCAACAAGGTCATCTATTGTTGACAGATTTTAGCGGGACCTTTCAGACTAGACCAGGAAGAAAGGCTTGGAGATCTACTTCAGAAAATCAGGCAAAGAAAACTGTATGGATGACGATGAAGTGTTATAGTCCTATATGGCGCCAGATGATGAGCTCCCTAGGAGGAAAGGCACTGAGCACAACCATGGATCAGAGCATGCAAGCAGTCACAAAGATGGCACAGCATGGGGCGATGATTTGTCCTGCCATAGATTGTGCCACTCTGATTCAGAACCGGCTTGATGTCAGCTAACAAAAACATAACAAATAGGTTTTCTTTGCCCATATTTTTCTATCATGTAAGATGCCAGTAGATATGGGTTGCATTCTTTTGTTGCTGGAGACCAAATATTTCTACTGGAGCAATTGATATTTTCCTATTCAAATGAACATGTTCTAAGTCGTGGAGACACAATTCACTGAGTCTTATATTAACACAGGAAATGTTGTTTGGTTTCCTCTTCCTGAGGGCAAGGCAGGGGTACCAGCATCCTATCTGTGGCTCACTATGCAGACAGTAAGGTCTTCTTATCTATAAATACCATCTGTGAAGTTTAAAGTCAGAGAGCAAATTGAATTTTTATTTCCTGCTAGTCTTTCAAGTTAAATATAATCAAGACGACAGTAAGAACAGCAATGACGAGAGGAGAAAGGAAAGCATGCAAGCATTTTAATAGTTTTTTTTCTCAGTAGCTTAAGAGTTAATGGTTAATTTACACCATAGAAATGTGCACATTTAAATTCTCTTTGGCTTTTCAAAGGGACATAACTGCAGTCTGTGGGTTTGGGGACAGCATAATTATTGTGTAAGTCTGCATTACCTGAGGTCAATTCGCTGTGGGTATGTGAAAAGCCGTTTGACTCATAAGACCTAAGCATTAAATGTCTCATCTTGGCTGGAAAATGCTAATCTTGCTCTCTAGAATCTGTGCATCTTCTGTTCTTTGTTCTGTACTATGCTACATGCATTCTCTGATATGAAGAATTAAAAGCTATTTGGATTTATTACTGGACATTTTCCAAATAAAATCTAATCTTTTCTCTTAAAGTAATAAATAAACATATATTGTCAAGCAGGAACTGACGCATAGTTGATCTTCCAATGGGTTTTTTCAGAGGTAGTAAAACTCATAAGAGATTGTCCATCTTTCTCCCTCAGAGGAGTTAGTGCCTTTGGGTTGGCAGCCCAACTCCTTACCGCTAGATCACCAGAGCCTCCACTGACAAACTTTGTAGTGTATTTTGTTGCTATGTTGTGGAGTCTCAAAAATAGATGGCACAAAGGAAGGCTGAAGTAGTTGTATTGGTGATGTGTGATGACTCTATTAATTTTCAAGTAACAAGAATTATAGGATTTACCATAAAAGATAAAAGGCTACAGCTTTCAATATGAATTATATCTCAACATTGAGAAAATAAAAATATTCAGAAAAGGATCAATAAACAACAAACATCATGATAGGTGGAGAAAAGACTCAAGTTGTTAATGATTTTATTTTACTTGGATTCAAAATCAGGACCCATGGAGGTAGCAAATCAAAGGCTGTATTGCATTGGGAAAGTCTACTGTCAAGGACCTCTTTAAAGTGCTAAAGAGCAAAGATGTCAGTTAGACTAAGACATATGTGATCCAAGTCTTTGCCTTTTCCATTGTTTTATAAGCATCTGAAAGTTGAACAGTTAATAAGGAAGACTGAAGAAGAATTGACACCTTTAACTTGTGGTGTTGGCAGAGAATTGAAAATCCTATCGACTGTTACAAGAACAAGCAAATCTGTCTCTGAGGAAGTGCAACTATGGTACTCTTTAGGAGGTAAAGATAGTGAAACTTTATCTCACATACTTTGGAGATGTTGTTAAGAGGCAAAACCCCATGTATAGCAAAGTAGAAGATCAGAGAAGGAGAGGGAAATCCTCAGTGAGATAGATCCCCACAATGACTGCAACAATGAGCATAGTGGAGATTATAAGGATGGCAAAAAAGAGGGAAGATTCCCTATCAGGGTTACCATGAGTTGTAGTTGACTTGAAGAATCCTAACAAAATAACAAAAACGGTCATAGAGAACTCAGAGAAGGAAACCAAGAAAGCAATACCATTTACAATAGCCAACCACAAATTGAGATACTTGGGAGTGAACCTAACTAGAAATACAAAAGACCTATAGAAAGAAAACTACAGAACATTTCTGCAAAACACAATAAAAGACCTGAAGAAATGGGAAAATGTGCCCTTGTTCATGATTAGGAAGACTCAATATTGTGAAAATGACACTCTTACCAAAAGCAATCTACATGTTCAATGCAATCACAATCCAGATACCAAATTCATTTTTCAAGGAGAGCAAAAGGGAAATTGTCAACTTTTTGGAGAGAAAAAAGACCCTGAATAAGCAAAACACTTCTGAGAAACAAAAATGAAGTGGGAGGCATAGCACTCCCTGATCTCAAAACAAATACAGCAGTAGTAACCAAAACAGCATGGTATACTGGTACAATGACAGGCACATAGACCAATTGGACAGAATTGAGAACCCAGAAATAGACCCATCTATCTATGGAAAACTGATATCCGACAAGGAAATAAAACCTATCAAATGGGGAAATGACAACCTCTTCAACATATGGTGCTGGAAAAACTGGACTGCTACCTGCAGAAGCTGAAACAGGATCCACATCTCACACCGTACACAAAGATCAACTCCAGGTGGATCAGAGATCTGGGAGTAAAGCCCAACACCATAAGTTCATAGAAAGCCTAGACTATGGTATAAAGAGACTGTCAAATACAGCCAGATATGCACAATCTGAAAAAAGATAAAATTGATGAATGGGATCTTCTAAAGATTAAATCCCTGTGTGCATCAAAAACTTTTCCAACAGAGTGAAAAGAAAACCTATTGACTGGGAAAAAACATTTGGCAATACCATCTCGGACAAGAGTCTCATAACAGAAGTTTCCAGAATACTCCTGGGCCTCCACAAGAAAAAGTCTGATAACTCAATTACAAAATGGACAAAAGACATGGAAAGAATTTTCACAGAGGAAGATATTCCAATGGCAAACAGACACATGAAGATATGCTCAAAATCAATGGCAATAAGAGAAATGCAAATCAAAACTACAATGAGATACCATCTCACTCCAGTAGCAGTGGCAAAGTTTAACAGGACAGCAAGTAATAAATGTTGGAGAGGATGTATTGAGATAGGAACTCTGTTCACATTGTTGATGGGATTGTAAAATGGTACAACTACTCTGGAAGGCAGTTTGGCACTTCCTCAAAAAGCTGAATATAGACATTCCAAATGACCTAGCTATTTTACAGCTTTGAATATATCCTGAGAAAATGAGAGCTGAGGTTCAAACAGAAACTTGTACACCAATGTTCATAGCCACCTTATTCACTATCACAAAATCATGGCAACAGCCCAGATGTCCAACCAAAACCAAATGGATTGAGAAGTTGTACATTCACCCAATAGAATACCACACAACATATAGGAGCAATGATTTTTGTATATTACTACCTAACTTGGAGGGCATTATGCTGAGTGAACTAACTCTGCCTCATCAGGACAAATACTGTATAAAACCATTATTGTAGAATGAGTATGAGGATCCAAGGGGGAAGGAGGGTGCAAGCAGAGGGTGAGGATAGAGGGGGGTTAATCATAGGGTCACACAATTTGATGGAGGGGAGGCGAAGGAAATGGGAAAGATCCAGAGGGAAAAACAATGTATTTGAACTTTGTAAATAAATCAGTATAAAATAAATATATTTTCAGAGGGTCATAGAGACACTGGTGGTGTTTACAATGGCAGAATTCTCAACTTTCCTGAGGCAATGCTTTAGCCAATGCACCTTATGTGAGGCCACCACTCATCTTCCTGGGAGGGCTTGTATGTTGCTATGACGTTGAACAGGTTTCAAAGAAGCTCCAGACAAAGATGGACTAAGAAGAAAGGTCTGACAAAAAACAAAAACAAAAACAAAAAACAAACAAAAAACAACAACAAAAAAGCCCAGCCAGCTGTGGGGATTGCAAGGTTATCTGTTGTGTATTTGGTTGTCATGTTCCCCAGGCAGCTAGCAATAAGAATAACAATGAGCATCATAAGTGTAAGCTCATCACAGGATATGTGCTCTGGACTACATAGAAGGGAAGGGGACCCATTGTTGGGCTCCCTGCATATGTCACTGCAATGCTGCAGCTTTACTGGCTCCTTTGTGTGTGCGCCAGGTGTGAGTACTGAGACTGATATTCCAAGATCATAAACCCCCACGGCCATGGAATCCATTCCTGCTCCTGGTGACCCTGAGGGCAGAGCAGAGCTGAGCCCCCAGGGCTTGTCCGGCTGTAAAGCTTATGGAACTAGAGGCTTCATCTTTCCCCTGCACAGTAGGTGGTAGGTTTGAACTTCTCACCTTTAAGTTAGCATCCGAAGTCTTTAGCCACCACATTACTGACTGAGGCTCCTACGAGGTATTTATTAAGCATCCCCATAATTTTCTGGTGGCCTCCTGGCAAGAAGCTATGCTGCAGTCCAAAGGCATGAGGTTCAAATCCACCAGGTGCTCAGTGGAAGAATGGATAATCGCCTCCAAAGTGATTAACTGCCTCTGAAACCCACCAGAGGATCAGCTATGCGTCGGTTCCAACTTGATGGTACACAACAGCAACGACAACAACCACAGGTCAGCTAGTCTTCATATATCTGACCACACATCCACTCCTTAACAAAATAATGATGTATAGAAATTTTCAGTGATTATTTTCAGATTTAAGGTGTTAAATTTTTGGTAAACTACAGTTTTGGTTTTAACAGACATCTCGGACAACTGAGTTTAAGAGTTAGTTCGTGGCTCCAAGACCCTGGCACATAACCACCCTAACAGTTTGTCAGAGTGTCTCAGCCCTCTCTCCAGGAGGGTGGACCCACCAGATGCTCACAGAGTCTATTCCTCTATTAAGTGGTCTCTCCTTCTGTTGAAATGCTTGCTAATATTTACTAATCCCAAAGGAAGGCAGGTCTCTACAAGGAATATAGTCCCAGGAATGTCATCCCCAAAGGCTGGGATGGTGACAGTGAACTGGTAGATCTGTATTTGTGAAGCCACATACCTCATAGTTGACTGTGAAGAAGTACACCACCACGAATTTACTGTTCCCGGGAAATAAAGGCTGCCAACAACCCAGGGAGATGGGAAGAGGAATGCGCCTCCTCTAATGACGAGATTACAGCCCAGCTGACACGCGACTACAGCTCTTTGAGACCCTAGGAAGAGGGTGCAGCTTTGTCTGGACTCCTGACCAATAGTAACTATGAGATAATAAATGAATTTTGTTCCAGCTGCTAAGTTTGTGGTAATTTTGTTACATAGCAAAAGATAATCAATACACATGCCTTAGTATCTTGCATTTTATATACTGATCATGCTAATGTTGAATAAGTAAACTTAAACTTAGAATGCACCACCATAATTTATGTTCGTAATACTCACTGCCCCTGTTGTGAGTCTGACCCAAGGCAAACCTCCCATGGATTTACAAGGCTGTAAAACTCTATGGGGGGAAACGGCCCAACTTTCTTCCACAGAGTACCTGGCAGGTTCGAACTGACAATGTCAGCACCTCAACACACAACACACTATGCAATCAGGGCTCCTTATGTTAATAAAGTGATATTTTGAAATCTTCTTGAGATTATTAGCTGGGAATATTGTTGTTGTTGTGTATCATCGAGTCAGAACCGACCCATAGCTGACCCTCTGGAGGATTTTCAGAGGCGGTTAATTGCACGGGAGGAGACTGCCCGTCCTTCTCCCATGGAACAGCGGGTGAGTTCTAACTGCGTGTCTGTGGGATTGCAGTACAGCTTCTTGCCACAATAATATGGAATAATTTGTTTTCTGAATGTATTAGCAGAAACTCACATGAGATACACATTTGGAAATAAACCTGCAGAGATGATTTTTGCCATCAAGGATGGTACAAGTTTTACCAGTGACGGAACAGTCAAAAAGCACACAAAACGTTCAATCTCTGTTTCAGATGGACACTCAGAGAGGAGCATGGCCGCCGCTGCAGGTAACACTCACCTGTGCTTCACCCATGTGTCAGCCTCACTGGCGCGCTCTGTGTAGTTCTCGGGTAGGAAGCCCCGGCAGCCTGTTCGCTGGGAGATGCCAATCACCCACCCTTCGCTGGCTTCCTCCTGCTGAGTGGGGTCCACAAAGATGTACTCGCCAGGGCTGAGCATCAGCTCGTCCATGTTCTGAGGCTTATACTGGAATAGTACCTTCAAGGTCTAGAAAAAAGCACACAAATGGTTTTCATACCACAAGCAAAGATTTATGCTGGGAAATGACAGCAAGGATTTGCTGCTTGCTGGAAGCTGCATGCAGAAGTGAAATGCTGTTTGTGTGGACTGGACTGTTGTGCTCTGTAATGTATTCACTGAACATCTTGGAAAATATCATACCAGGCCTTTCTTCTTAGTCTCTTTTAGTCTGGAAATGCACTGAAATCCATATCATAGTAACACCCAAGTCTCTATTGGCAGTGGCAGTGCACGGAAGTACATGGGCTGGGATTTGAACCTAGGTCTCCCACATGCAGAGTAAGAGCCCTACCACTGAATTACAGTGTTAAGGTCCCCATGACAGTACCTCAAGGTTTCTTACATCTTGCCTCTTGCTCTCAGGATTGCTTGTTATGGTCTATAACCTCCATCACAAGGTCCAAGTCTTTGCTAATAATATATAATGTGGAATGTAACAAAATACAACATCGAACACTTTTGGTAGATTTAACAATACACTTGGTAGATTTTAAAACAATAAAAACTTTTGGGTGGCTTCAAACTATCCACTTTCAGCTTAGTAACTAATTACAAGCTGTTTGCATCACCCAGGGACCTTCATGTAAAGCAAGACTTGCTCCAAATTTCACAAGTAAGTTATTTTAGAGGAGGAAGAGAAAGTCTCTCTGCTATAAACACACACCAGCAGAGAGTCCCTGGGGATGAGGACTCTGCAGGTGAGGGTCTTTAACGTGGTTTTCTGTGGAGAGGATCTGGTCCAATGGCCCAGCCCCAGGGTGCTTGGTTCGAGGCCCGCCCCAGCACTCACGTGGTAGTGTACAAAGCGCATGTCTCGGGAGTACAGCGCTGCTGTCCATTGGCAGTCGGGGCTTGGGGGGATGGCTCTGGCTAGTTGCTCCAGCGACCTCTGGTGGTGGGGGTAGAACTTGTGGGCCAGCGTCAGGTGGAGCTGCTTGGTACAGGGTTTCACTGTGCAGTCTGTTAGATCAGGAAACACAAGGAGGCCAGGCACCTTAACCTAAACTGCTTTGCTGCCCATCAAGGATCCATGACAGACACAGCATTTTCTACTGGAGCCTCAGCCTCTGCCCACCCTCCTTCTCCTGCGTTGCACTTTGTGGACTAGAGCAAGCACTTGGTCCTGGACTTGGTGGTCTCCTTCAGAGAGTTCACCTCATAGAAAGAGTAGTTAAAGGCCTGTAGATTTAAGGAAGTAGGAAAGAAGAGGAAATAGCGACCCCTCCGGAGGCAGGTGTATGTCTGTATAACCAGTTTCCATCTAGTTGATCTAACACAGTGATTTAATGTCTGTCATGGTAGGACTGTGCTTATGGAGTTCCAATGGCTGATTTTTTTTCCAAAAATAGGTAACCAGGCCTTTCCTCCAAGGCACTTTAGGGTGGACTGGAACTTCCAACCTTTAAGCAAGCACCTGCGGGCTTTAACTGTGTCATTCAGAGACTCCCACCTTATAAAAAGAGATGATGTAAGTTTTGCTAACTTTACAAGAAAGAAGGGAAGAGGAATGAGTAGATATGCGGGTTGAGGCTCTGGGAGAGCCACCAATTTGCAAGTTATTTGCCCAGAGAAATTATTACACTATATCAAGTAAAAAGATAAAAACTCCCCTTTGCTTCACCGGTCAGCCAACTAAACAGCTTTTCCACCATTCTCTGAGCTGTGGAAACTGCTCAGCAGCCTGGAGCCACAGGCTCAAGTTCCAATTCAAAGGTATTTTTTTCAGAGTTACGTTTTAGGCAGAAAACTCCAAAAGCAACTGGACGCTGCAGGTCAAGTGTCTCTAAGATTTGACTCACTCTGGTGAGTAGTTGAGCCTGTCTTTCTGTGTGGCCTCTGCCCTCATCTCCTCAGCAGCCCCCCACCCTTTCCTGGGCTTTGGGAGCACTGGGCAGGGTCCAAGCATCACCTAAGCAGCAAGGTCTGATTTCAGCCAGACACAAAGTAGTCTGTGTTCTGGGAGGCGGTGTTTTCACGGAAACCACCAAAGTGCAGGCTTTGGTATCGAGTAGACCTGGCTCCAAACCTGGTTCTGCCCAGTTTGACTGAGTCACTTGGGTGAGCACCTTGACCTGAATCAATCTTGGTTTCCAGCAGTGACACACCGATACTGACCACCGCCTGCTGGGACTGCTGAGGCAAAGGAGCCTATTAGTGTCTCAAATCAGTCCTCGCTCCCTGTCACCTCGCCCTAGGTAAGGTACCCACAGGACAGACTAACAGAAAAAAATTCGTCTGCTCTTAGCAATTGCCAGGGTGGCACAAGCATGCCATCGGGCCAGCTAGGCTTGTCCAGTGCCCACAAAGGTCTCAGATTTTTCACAGTTTTAGAGCAAGTCAAGGCCTCCAGGCAGGTGCTGAAGTGCTCAATGGGGTGAGGGTGGGAAGCCACGTGGAGCCCAAGACAGTGTAGGTGGTGGGAAATCCCTTTCCTTAGGTCTCCTAGCAGAGTGGGTGGACCAGGCTCCCCACCTGAGTCAGCACGGCCTGGGAAAGACCCGCAGCAGCTGCCATCGGACTAGTGACTGAGTCATGTTGACTTTTGAACAGATTTGATCTTCGATATCTGGCTCTGTTCCCCTATAGATGTATTACTGGGGAAAGCTAGCATGATCAGAGGGCCAGTGCTGCGTGTCCCCACTGTCACTGGGGGCAGGCCTATCCTTACATCTCAGGATCAGCCCAAGGGCACAAAGCATGGGGGCAGATGGGCAAAGCAGAGATGCCTCAAGATTAAAACCAGCTCTCCCAGGAAGCACAGCTAGTCAGTATGAAATCCTGGCAGCATGGACCAAGACTAAATCAGGCTCAGATCCATTTCTACCACTGTCTGATTTAGGTGACCTTTGTCCTTCACAGCTTCATTCTCTCCATCTTTAAAATGGGCCAATAATAACCAACAGGGGCAGGAGGGTACGAGACCAAACCAAAGTCAAATCCAGATCATCTACACCAAGTCCTGAATTCTGTCCACTAAACCAAACTTTAGCCTTGGCTTCTGGCCCAAGGCTGTTGTTTGGAGAAAAGGATTTCTGTGGATTCTCAGAATGAGTCTAGATTGTCTTTCTCCCAAAAAACCAACAGTAAAAGACCAAGTTCACATCTCCCTCAAATGAAATCAACTTGAAGACAACCAGTGGTCTTTGATTTTATTCCAAACCATGGGAGCTCCACGTACATCAGAGTAGATCTCTGCTCCTTAGGGTTTCTAGAGACTGATTTTTTGGGAGTAGATTGCCAGGACTTTGTTTCAAGGCAATTCTGGGAGGAATTGAACCTCCAACCTTTTGGTGAATGGTTGAACACATAAACGGTTTGTGCAATCCAGGGACCCAAAATCAACCTAAGAGCTGCAGTCTACTCACAGTGCTGACCTTATGGGGAGAAGTATTCATTGGGTGTGGGGCTGAAGAAGGCCCTAAAACCTCTGAGTATACCCACACTCAATGTCTACCACCATCTGTGTAGTCACATAAACTCTCAGCCTGGATGTGGGAGTGAGCTCCCAGTGACAGTTTCCCAGGCAGCTGGAATATAGCTAAGCATTTTGAAAACCACATCAACACAAAAGAGGCTATCAGAAAAAGCAACAACAACAAAACAAAACAAAAAACTAAAAAACCTTAAAGAAAATATGCTGTTAGATCTCAGAAGTTTTCTATTTTGGAAGAGATGGCTCACTTGAGGTGGCTCATTGAGGGTGTTAACATTGCCTTGCTCAGCCTCAGAGAAAGGCATGTCTCAGTAGCAAGATGAAGAGTGAGCCGTGACCAGCAGTTCAACCCCAGTTGCATTAAAGAGCAGCCTTTGCTTCCTGGCCTTGGCCTGCTGCATTGAAGTTGTTTAAGAGTCACCCCAAAGTTGATTGAGATTCACTATGCATCAGCTGGTCCGTGAGAGTACCTTAATTGGGACTGTCTACCTGCTAACATGGACGCTTCTGTGGCAAAAGCCATGGCGAATTCCCGGATGACATCTGCAGGGCTGTCATTGATGAAGAAGCCGAGGTAGCTGATGGAGGAGTGGAGAGCCAGTGGGATGGCGGAGGGGAAGGAGCCCAGGATGTGGTCCCCTGCTCTCTTTAGCGCCTCATACAGGCCTTCCACTTTCTGGTCTTCGCACTAATGAAAGACAGAGAACATGCTCTCTTATCTCTTGGTGGGGAAAAAAAATCACCTATTAACAAATAAAAATTTTAGAGGAAGCAAAGTGAAATTCTTTTCTGCTCAGAATGCTTTCATTATCTCCATGGGGGTATCTAATATTGATATCCCCGGCTGTTGAGTCAGCTCTGACCTGGCAACTCCAGGCACAAACGTTGCCTGTTCCTCGCCAGCCTCACCGTGGCTGGCAGGCTCCAGTCCACTGGTGAGTCCACTGTCCATTTTAAGATGAGTTACCAACGTAGGGAGCTCAGCTTCCATTTCTAGGTTGGATAATATTGTGCTGGGATCCACAGGATTCTCACTGAGTAATTACCAGAAGTAGATCCCTAGACCTTTTTATCCTAGTCTGTCATAGTCTGGAAGCTTTGGTGACACTTGTCCACCATGGGTGATCCCTGCTGGTATTTGCAATGTGGGTGATGCAGCTTCTGCCGTCCAGCAGTATGCAAGTCATCATGGTTTCACACGGTGACAGATGAGTGGAACACTAAGAGCTGGATCTAGTTTTTGGGTGTGTTTTGGGTGTTTCTGTTCTTGTGTGCTCAGTTATTTAGACAACTTAGGTAAAATTATTTCCTGAGTAGAAAGTACCCAGGCTGGAAATCCTACCACCAGTTTCTATCTTCTCCATCCCAGTCTTGTTGATTCTTTCTGCCTTACATTTTGAGTTAACCCCCTTCTTTTTTCTTCCAGCCTATGATCAACTCAGAGTGTCATTATTCACTTTCTAGAAGCTTCTAGCAAATACTTGGACCATAATCAAAGTGCCCTTCCCAGAATCCACAATGAGGAGTGTAGGTCCACCTCACACAGGGGAGGAGAATCCACAGCTGAAGTGCTGCTTCACTGATAAGAGGAATTGATGCCTTTGAGCTGTGGTGTTGGAGAAGAGTAATGAAGACCCCACACGCTGCTAAAAGAACAAACAGATATGTTTGGAGAAAGTGCAGCCAGAGTGCTTCAAGGAGGCAAAAATGATGAAGCTTCATCTCACATGTTTTGGGTATGTTGCTAGGAAATGCTATTCCTTGGAGAGGGATATCATGCTTGGAAAAGGGGAGAGCTGGCAAAGGAGAGGAAGACCTTCAACCAGGTGGACTGACACAGTGACTGCAGCAACGGGCTTGAGTGTATCAGTGATTGTGAGAGCCCAGGATAGGACAGGGTTCAGATCTGTTCAGAGGGTCACTGTGAGTCACACTTGACTCAATGACACTTCACAACACTGAAGAACACACAGCCAGAGTGTTCTCCCAGCAGTGCTGCAGGCTGGGACTCCTCCTCCTGCCTGCTTTCCTCTTGTCTCCCCTCCTGGCTACCAGAGCCACGTTGCCATGAGCTCTCCCTGCCTTTGTCTTTCTCCTCTTTTACCCATCACTGGTTTCATTCAGAGTTCTACACCTGTCCTTCTGCCTTCCTGTCTGTTCTTGGAGGACCTTGGACCAGCACAGACTAGGCCTGTGGTCCCCTAAATGTACTCAAATACTCTGCTTTGTCCTCTTCTAAGGAGGTCCTCATCATGCCACCGTCACCCGGAAGCAGCAGGAGCACTCCTGCTCATCTGAGAGTTCAGTCTAATGTGCTCAGCCAGACCTCTTAGGCCCAAGGACAAGCCTCACCCTCCTGATCCCCCCTCCTCCACTCACACCCTGCCTCTAGCCAGGTGGGCACCCAGTTAGGCCACTCGTGCACTAGAAGATCTTTCTCAACTCCCTGTGAAAACATAAGCATCATCAGGAAGCAGGCCCAGCCTTCTCTTCCCAGCCATCTGTTTTTCCTCCAAATTTCCCTGCTTAGAAACATCAAGCCACAGGATAGCTCTTAACATACAGTCTGTTCCCTTCTAGACCAGAAACTCACTGTGTTTCCCAGGCAGTCCTGTCTTTCAATCCCCAGGGGTCTAGGGAAATGCACGTGCATAGCTGGTGCTCAACACACAGCCACCGCGTGACGGAGTGCATGCAGGAATCCATTCTCATTGTATTTTTGGTCTCCAATGTGTCATTTGCAAGCAGAATAATATTATGTCTGTAGGTGTAATCGACATGACTGCGTGGTGGCTGACATTTTCATTTTACAACATCAGAGACATCAAGCGAATTTCTGTTACATAGTTTCCTCAGAAAGGGGCCCTCAGCTAACTAAGATTCAAGGCAGGAGGTAGGATGGGGGAGATGGTTACCACAAGAGAAGGGAAGTGAGAGATGTGTGTGTGTGAGCATGTGTCTCTATATAACTGTTTGTGAACCCAGTGTGCACCTCTATACCGATGTGTGTATTTGCACAAGTGTGTATTGTGTTTCATGTATCTCTGTTCATGCAAGTGTATAAGCATGTGCGTCCTGGTATGTATTTCTGTCTCTGTGAGAGTCTGTGTGAGCATATACCTCCACAGAATGGAAAAAAAAGGAACTAGAAGGCCAGTGTCTGCCTGCTCTGTCACCACCAGGACAGAGTGTGTCTGATCTCTAAGCTTGCTTTTCACCTTCTGGCTTTGGCTGTCTTTCAGTTTTCCGATGAGCCCCTGAGGACCTGTCAGAAAGAAGCCTGATGATGACAGATCCCCAGAATGTCAAAGCACAATGATTACACGATCTGGTTTGCCTGGAACTTCCTAAGGTTTAGAACTGAAGGGTCTATGTCTTGGGAATCTCCAGACTCAGGGCAACCTGGAGGGAATCACTCACGTCACAGACTCTTCTCCAGGAGCATCCTACAGACCCTTCCCCTGCAGAGGTGAGCCTGCCCCTTTCCACCCAGTGCAGTGGACGCTGATACTCAGGGTTTCCTTGGGCCCTGGTGGGACTCTTTGGAGTGAGTAGAAAAAGCAGACGCTTGCATAGAAACAGGATGATAGAAACTGGATGTGCCCTTCTGCAGATTCTTCAGGTTGGGGCCAGAGGAAATGGCTTTCTGTCCCTCCTTCTCTCCTCCTCATACCTCCTTTCTCTCTGAGCAGTCTTCAGGCCCTTCTCACCTCTTCAGGACCCTGTTAAAGACTGTCTGTATTGTTCCTTTTCTACATCAGAAAGTTGTTCACTCAGTCATGGAAAAGTCTTACATTTATATCTGGCCACTATTTCATTCATCCCTTGTACATTAATGAAGCACCTGTAGCTTTAGGTACTGTGCTTATCTCTGGGAATACAAAGATGAAAAAAGTATCCCCTTCCCTTGAGGGACTCTTAGTGAGAGGTGGAGAGCTGTAGCAGACACATTACAATCACACATGAGAACAAAAAGATGCACAAAAGGCAATTAATTCCTCCTTCCTCGAGAACTTGGAAACACAGGAAGAGACAGGATAAATGGCTTGGGTCCTGAAGGATGAATAGGAGTTGACCAAATGAAGAAGAGGAGAAACGGAAAAGGTATCCCATACACTGAGACCATCTAATGCTATAGTTCTGAAACCTCATGTAAATAAACTATATGTCACTCTATTTCATCCTGTCATCATCACAGGGGAAAAAAAGACTTAAGCTTCTCTGTTAATAAGCATCAAAGTGTGACTCACCGTGAAGAACTCACAAAGTGTGATGTGAGGGAAGATCTCATGAGCTCTGTTCCTGGCACACTGGTTCTTGCTCTCTCTCCAGAATTCCTGTAGTTTTTCCAGCAGGGGCCCCGTGGGACAGAGGAAGAGGGCATATTCCTGAGGAATGGGGTCATCTAAAGAAGGGTCATTGCAGTGACAGCGTAGCCTGGAACAACAACAAATAGATAGATCACTGTTACCTGGCATCTTGAAAGAAATGCCTTTATCTATCCCGGGCAAACAACAGCAATGACAGCAACTCAGAATAGTGAAATATGCAGAGCGCTGGATTTGCATAACATGAAGTACTTCTCCACCTGCCAGGAAGAAGATGCGGTGACCCTGCTTTGACAGGTGAGGGCCACCTAGCAGTGAGGCTTTGCTTACACCACAGAGCGCTCGTGCACACTGGCTGTCAGCCCAGATCAGACTGATCCCAAAGTCCAAGGACACAAAATATGTAAGAAAGTTGACTGGAAACTGAAAAAAATCCCAGTTTCTGCTCCACGCATCCCCTTAGTAACGAGTACTGGAAAAATCTGCAGAAAAAAAGTCACATTTTAATTTTATACCATAAGTGAGGGTAAAAAAAGGTAAGTGGCTACTATATTTTCTTTGGTTTTGTAATGATATTCTAAATATCAGGAAAATGGATATGTGGCCCAACTGTGAGTTCACTCTCACTGATAACAAAAATAGAAAATAAAAATTCACAGAATTCCTTTCTTAGCATATCAAATTAAAAAGAGTTTTAAAAATGGATAAAATTGATATTCGGTTCTATAAAAAAGTACAGCAGATTTTGGAGTAGTAGCTATATATTCAATGAGACAGGCAAGGGATGGGCTGGGGGCCCTGTTCACGCAACACTCCATACCTGATTTGACAAAACCTTTACATAATGTGGATCAAGAGCCATAGAATACTTATGCCATCTGAACTAACAAGTCTCCTTTTAGAAATTCTAAGGAAAGGCCATGATATATAGACAGAACTCAGTATAAAAAAATACAGAGGTAACATCATAAAAAGAAAAATGTAAACGATAGTAATCTTTTTTTAAATAAAATTTTATTTTAATTGTGATTTTAATGAACTTTTACAGAGAAACTAGATTTTTATTTATCATTGTTGCACGTTTAACTCCTTCTCCCTCTCCTTCCCCTCACCCAGTTCACTTTTTAAAAAAACATTCATTCATTGTTGCACTATTACCTAGCTCCTCCCTCCCACAGTCCTTTTTGCAATGAGATGGAAGCAACCAAAATACCCATCAAAAAAAATGAATGGATAGAAAAACTATGGTATATTAATACAATGGAATAGTACACAGCACTGAAAAACAATGGACTCGCAACGAGGGGGACACTGGAGCACATCATGCTGAGTGAAATATCTCAGTCACAAAAGGACAAATACTGCACAGCACCATTGTTATAAAGCAGCTCTGCCGTGGAGGGTTAGGAGGAGACTAGGATAAGAGTGTGTAATGACCATTGCATTAGAACAGATGAAGGAAAGAACTATCCAAACAGAATATGTGATTAGGCATATGACAACAGCCCAGAATAAGATGTGTATCATTGCAGGTAGTAATATTATTTTTCATGTGTTCATTATAAAATATGGCTTTTCTAATGACTCAATGAAGTGTTTGTAATATATGATTGTATTGGGAAAGCAGAATACAACTGTTTGGGAAAACAGTTTGGCATTGGCTTATTCAATTGTAAATCTAAAAACAAGTTTGCCCTTCTAGACACGTAGGTCAGCAATAGTCTTCTATGTCTGCATCCAAAACAAGGGAAGAGATGTTCATGAAAAATAACAATAAAAAAATATGTAAGTATATGGTCACATATACAGGTATATAGACATATGTGTAGGGTAGGTACATACATCTGTACAGAGTGAAGCATCCATGTGTGCAAATGCATACAGATATGTGTGTGCATGCATATATATATATATTCATATCAAACATAGTTCCATAACCAAACACCTTTCTAGGATGGTTTTCTTGGCTTAAAGATACTTCACATAGGGCAACTCAGTACATTGACACCACAAAGTTCATGGTCTTCATCTTAGGAGCATCTCTGGTCTTCAAAGCTTGTGAACGATCATCTAAGTTACTCAGCTCTGCTTGTTAGAAGCAAAAGAGAAAGAAGGAAACCAAAGTCTCAGAGAAGAAGCTAGCCTACAGGGCTAATAGCCTGTACAAGACAACATCTTATCTATCTGAGAGCAGAATAACTAGATGGTGCCCAGCTTCCACAATTGAGCATTCTGAGCAGAGTACACTTCCATTAACCCAGAGGGAAGGGGAGAACACAGAACAGAAGGCAGATTTTAAAGTTCAGACTTATAGGACAAGTTGACACTGGAGAATTCCCTGAGAATAGCATCCTGAAATAATTGTAAAATCGTGACTCAAAACTTTCCTGTGAGGTCACCTTTAGTGAAATAGCAGCTTGCTACACAAAATAAAGGCTATTACTCATGAGATTTCAAAGCAATCTGTTACACCCACCTACAGGCAGTTGATCTTTGGCAAAGAACTAAAATCCATTAAGTTTGATAAAAGACAGCATCTTTAACAAATGGAGCCAGCAAAACTGGATATCTATTTGTAGAAAAATATCCATACCTGTATAATCTATAAAAATGATTTTAAAAACAGATATAATACCTAAATGTAAAGTTAAAACTGTAAATAGCATCTTAGAAAAGATAGAAACTCATGTTAGGGTCCTAATTTATGGCATAAATAGATTACCAAACATAGCAACGAATGTACCAACAGCAGAAGATAAACTAGACACCTGGATAAACTAGGGACCTTTTTAAAAATTAAATTCATATGTGTATGAAAAGACTATTTCAAAATAGCTAAAAGAGAATCTATAGATTGAGTGAAAATATTTGACAATGACATATCTGACAAAGGATTAATCTTTAAATTTTATAGAAACTATTAACACCTTGATAACTAAAAGATAAGCAATCCAATCAAAAACTGGGAAGAGACTATAAAAATACTTTTTTTAAAATCAAAGAAATCATTTAGATGTCCAACAAACACCTCAATAAAGGCTCACAATCACTAGGTATAAGAGAGATGCAAATAAAAATAACAAGGAAATATCATCTTGCCCCAGTAACAATAGTAAAATTGATTAAGACAATAAACAACACATGCTGGTGAGGAAGTGGAGAGACTGCAACTCTCATACCCTGCAGGTAGAAGTGTAAAACAGGGTAACAGTTTCACACTTTCTTAATAAGTTGAAAATAGAAATACCATTTGATCCAGCAATCTTATTATTAGGTGTATATCCTAAAGAAATAAAAGCTGCAACATGAACAAATATATGCACTCTCATATTCATCATAAAATAACAAAGCATTCTACAATAACAAACACGTGGAAGTAATGCCAGTGCCTGTCAGTAGATGGATGGATAAAACTACAATACGTACCTAGGGTGGAATATTATGAAACACTAAAGAATAAGAAAGAATTCACAGAACAATTAATATCATGGTTGACTCTAGAGGACATCTTGTTGAGTGAAATAAGTCAATCCCAAAAGGACAAATATTGTGTGAGTTGATTATTATAAAACACTAAGGAGAGTTTATATTAAGTTTATATTCTTTTATGATTCCCAAGGGTGAGAGGAGTGAAGGTGGGGAGAAAATATACAATTTAATAGAGAGATGATGTTGTTGTTGTTGCTGTTATGTGCCGTCGAGTCGCTTGTGACTTATAGCGACCCTATGTACAACAGCCCTAAACTCCGCTCTGTCCTGTGCCAATCACACCGTCTCTGACACTCCCATCCCAATTATCCCAGTCACTGAATCAATCCACCTCATAGAGGGCCTTCCTCTCCTGCGCTGTCCCTCCACCCTCCCAAGCATGATGTCCCTCTCCAAGAACCTCTCCCTCCTTACAACATGTCCAAAGTATGTTAGACGGAGCCTCAGAATCCTTGCCTCCAAGGAGCCACCTGGTTTAACCCTTTCCAGGACAAATCTGTTTCTTTTCCTAGCAGTCCATGGTATTCTTAAGACTCTTCTCCAGCACCACAGCTCAAAGGCATCAATTATCCTTCTATCCTCCTTGGTCATTGTCCAACTCACTGATGCATAACAGGTGATTGCGAAGACCATGGCCTGTATCAGATGCACCTTAGTCTCCAGAGAGACACCATTGCTCTTCAGTACTTTGGAGAGGTCCCTAACAGCAGACTTTCCCATTGCAATGTGCCTTTTAATTTCCTGGCTGCTGGTGCCAAGACTGTTGACTGTGGAGCCAAGCAAACTAAAGCTGTGTACAATCTCAATCTCTTTACCATCCATCCTGATGTTGCCAATTGGTCCAGTGGTGAGAATCTTTGTCTTCTTGGCATCGAGCCTCAATCCATATTGTAGGCTGCAGTTCTTGACACTGCAGCAGGCGCTTCAGGTCCTCTTCAGTTTCAGCAAGCAGGGTTGTGTCATCCGCATAACAGATTGTTGATAAATCGTCCACCAATCTTGACCCCACATTTCTCCTCATAGATCCCAGCCTCCCAGATAATCTGTTCTGCACATAGGTTGAAAAGGTATGGAGATAGGATGCATCCCTGGCGTACGCCCTTCCCAATTTTGAACCACGCAGTGTTCCCTTCCAAGTATAAGTTTCGCATTAGAACGATCAAGTGTTCTAGGATTCCCATTCTTCTCAGAGTCAGCCATAGTTTGTTATGATCTATACAGTCAAATGCCTTTGCATAGTCAATGAAACACAGATAGACATTCCTCTGGTATTCTCTGCTTTCAGCCAAGATCCATCTAACATCACCTACAATATCCCTAGTAAATCCCCATCTGTGTTAGACCAAAAGTTCAATAATTAAATTGAAAGTGAGAAGACAGGAAGAAAGGAGGACTATAGAATACAGGGGGAAAAACAACCAAGACATAATTACTGAGAATTCAGACATAAAAGTGAATAACTCATCTAACAAACAAATTTTGGTAGAAACTGTCAAAATAACAACCAATTTATTGTGTAAATTTTCACTTAAAACATGACAAAATACTACATGTGGTGTGGAGCATTGGGAGAAGATCAGCAGTTTGATTCCATCATCTGCTCTGTAGAAGAAAGAGAGG